GGGGGGGGGGGGGTATAGGGTAAAGGAAACGGAAATTGGAGGTCAAAGGGAGGATGATTGATCAGAACATTGGTAATGAAAGAGGGGGTTTGCTGGATAGGGGTATCGGAGAAGAGGGTTGTTATGGCGCCACCTAAGCGTGTGAAAGTATACTTTTCAAATAGGTGGCACCGTCTATGTATAGGTTAAAAATTACGTTGTGGTTAATATCTAAAACGAAAAAAATATTATTTTAACGGAGTTAGGTTTAGGTTGAAATGATGAGGGCATTGAGTGTACTTATTTTGAAATAAGTATGAGATCCAGATTTTGAGCAAATCACATGGAACAAGAGAGTTATTTACTCTAACATTAATAATAATAATTAAAAACAGTGGATAGCAATGAATAAGAATGAAGGCCATAATTAGAAGAAAGTGACATGATATTATTGAAACACTCCTTAGCGTCTCAATAAGCTAGTTTTTTGGCTATCAGAAGTTAAAAAAGTAAATTAACTCATGGTTACAAACATGACTCTAAGGTCCCATTTGGTTTGCATGAATGGTTCGAATTTGGAGAGATTTAGATTTCAAATTCATTCCAGTCTCATGTTTGGTTTGTTGGATCGTCCGGGTTTAAAATCATTGGATTTAATTGAAATCCTTCAAATATAGGATTTTGAAATCCTTGGGGAGTGCTCGGGATTTCATGGTATTTCATAGGATTGTATGTAATAAGGTTTTAAGAAAATGTTAAAAATATTTGTTTTGTAATAATCGATTAAAAAGATGTAACTCAATTGTTTTTATAATTTTTTTGTAAAATATTTATAAATAATGAAATTCAATTTCATTATAAATCCTACAAACCAAACACGACAATGATTTCAAATCCATTCAAATCCAAATCCCTCAATGAAATTCAAATTCCTAAAAAACCAATCCTGCAAACCAAACGGACTCTTATTAGAGAATCCTTCCTAAGATCCTGTTTGATTTGCAGAATTTGATGGGATTTGGAATTAGATTAGATTAGATTACAATCCCTCATTTTGTTTTAAAAAAGTCCAGAAGTGAAAACCCACAAACGTTGAATTTAAAACCCCTTAGGTGGAGAGTTGCTAGGTAATAAATAAAAATAAAAGACCACATATGTGATAAATTACAAACCATAGAAACCAAATCCATAATCCTCTATTTGACCTTCCATAGAATCACTTTGTAATACTATATGTTAAAAAATTCCTTTTATAATAATTAATTAATAAAATATAACTTTATTATTATTTATAAATTATCTTTAAAGAAGGAAATTAAATTCATTTAAAATCAAAATCCATAAAATTATTACATTAAACCTAATGCCACGTAACAGTAATTAAAACTCACTTGTTTGTATTTAAACTATATTTAAATTCTATATTGCAGTAATTAATGTGTTGTAAAGGAAATTAGATCCGTCTACGTCGACAACCAGTACTTGGTTATAAGTATAGTAGAACCACAAAATAAGTCTCCTTCGAACAGGAAAGATGTGGATTACTTTAGTCACTATCAAATAGGACCAATTCATTACAAAATACAAGTCAAACATACTACCTTGCTTTACAGGTTTAAACACTATACTACAATTTTGGTATTTCCGAAACACTTTATTCTTTTCTATAAAAGTCCTTATCAATTTATTATAAATCAAAATTATTTAACTTCTTCAAAAATTTCTTGTTACTTATTTGACATCGGTATAAACTATTTATCAAAACATTCAAAAGTATTTATTACAAATATCATATCAAAATAAATCAATAAATTATCTTTATAAACAATCCCAACCATGATCTCTTATTCAAAATTGTTGCAAATCAGAAAGCCACATAGACTAAAATTATAGTTTACTCATACTTTAAACCCCACTCATTTACAATACAGGCTTGCATCCACCCGATATCAATTATATATATATATATATATATATATATATATATATATATATATATATTAAATAATCACACATTCTACACCTTGCATATCAAAGACCGCTTACCCTGTTGCTCTCCAAAAATGGGTACGGGGAACGATGAACCATTAACACCGGCCGGCCGGTTGTTCACACAGCCAGCGACTCACCAGATCATCAACTGCGCTCTAGGCCTTGAGCGAGCCCTTGGATTTGATGAAGTTCGAACCGTCGTCTCTGATTCTCTCATGATCAAGCACCCTAGATTCTGCAGTCTCTTAGTCACGGACGATCAGGGCCACCACTATTGGAGATTAACCGAACTCGATATCGACCGCCACATCATCCTGCACACCGATCCCGTCGGTGAAGTTGGTAACGATGAAGCCGCCATCAACGATTTCCTTGCCGACCTTGCAGTATCGTCTCCTTTGAGCACGGATAAGCCGTTGTGGGAAATCCACCTTTTGTCGGCTCATAAGTGTGTGGTTCTGCGTCTCCACCATGCGCTCGGGGATGGAATCTCTCTGATGTCATTGATGTTAACTCTGTGTAGAAAACTCGATGATTCCGAACAGACGCCGACGATCGAACCCCTAATTTCATCTGCACGAAACCCTAGGGGATTAGGAATCAATGAGAAAATTTTCAAAGTATTGAAGATTATCTGGTTCACGATGATTTATGTGTTCGAATTTATGATGAGAAGTCTGTGGGTCAAGGACGGAAGGACGGTGGTGAGAGGCGGAGAAGGGGTGGAATTGTGGCCGAGAAGAGTCGCCACGGCCAAGTTCAACCTTGAGGATATGAAAACGGTGAAGCGCGCCGTCACTAACGCAGTGAGTTTTTAAGTCTCTTGGTTCATTTTCCGTTATCCTCTTAATCTATGTCTTGACGGTTGACAAACAAACGCCCACCCAATCACGCCACTACTATCTGATTTTTCTCTCTCTCTCTCTCTCTCTTGATGGATAACTGCACAATAATTTTAATAATTATAATATAAAATATTAGTATTTTATATAAATAATAATAAATGTAGCTTGAAATATTAGAAAAAAGGGTATTAATAGGATTATAAGTAAGTTGAAATAAAGAGTCAGTAGTTTAGTATTTGCATGAAAAGTAGTACGTGAATGCTATTTATCATTTTACTTTTTACATGGTCCCAACTCCCAAATCCAGATACACTAACAACAAAATATTCTAACACTCCATTAATTAATTAATTAATTAATATATATATAAAGAGAATAGTTTAAACGAGAACATCTTCATTTTATGAGGTATATAAAAATATAAAAACACAAAAAAGGTATATAAATCAAAGTTTCAATAACTAAAAGGCCTAAAAGATTTCTTTTTCCAAGTCATGAATATTGTGTTGCTCCAAATTTGGAGTATCATATATGACTACCATTCATTCCTTGCAACTTTCATACCAAGTACTGTTTATTTAAAATAGGAAATATATAGAATTAAATTGTTGGAAAATGAGATCGAAATATTAAACGGGTCGAATCGGATTCTATATTAACATCTAATCCATTTAAGTGGAACCGATCCGTTTCATCCAATATTCTAATTCAATTTTTCGGTAATTACATTTGATGGATTGAATCAGTTGTCCAATATTGATTGAATTGAAGTAAAAGGGGTGGAGGTTAAATGACCATTATTAATGCAATTATTGAATGAATTTCTAAAATATTATTAATGACGTGGATATTTGTATTATAAATTATAATAATTAATTGGTAAGGTGAGAGATGTACGAGAAAAATAATTAAATGGACCCAAATTTCTCTCAACCAATGGCATCATTGCAAAAAAAAAAAAAAATACTAATAGGATTCGAACTCAGTTTGGGTGGAAGAAAAGTCTTACCTCTATCAAAAGAAAACTTGTTTTTATTGTAGTTTCAAAATATATAGGGTGGTACATAACAAATTAATACGGTTACACCTTTTCACGAACCTAAATTTTTTTATCCTTCGACGAAGGAATAATACCGCAACACGTACCACTGATGGCACCAAACTTATACAACATCATGAACGTGTATGACCTATCCATACATATACGTTTACTTATGATTTTTTGCAAGTCTATATATATTTTATATGTCATTGTATAAGTTGGACATAACATTACTAATATTCAAATGCAGACGATAAACGATGTTCTTTTTGGAGTAATATCATCAGGGCTATCAAGATATTTGGACAAACGATCGCCAGAATGTAATCGTTTTTTTTTCCAACAAGTTGTTTTACGTTTTTCATTCTATTTTTATGAATCAAGATTCATATTCAAGTTCATGCTTCATTTTTACCAAGTAAATTACTTGTCTTTCTTAGCTCTTCAGGAGGGGCTTCGAATCACCGGTGTCGCCTTGGTTAATCTAAGGCCATCACCAGGACTTCAGGTTACATATGTCAACCCTCATTTTCATATAGAATTCAAAGTGCATATCTCGAAATATCATATCAATATCAATCTTAGTAGCTATTGTAAAATTATATGGAACCCCATTAAATTACTCTTCAAAAGGACATAAGGAGGTTCTAACATATATAGAGGAGAAATAGTCCAAATCTAGCATATGTGAGACTCCAACATGCCCTCACCAACAGAGGCTAGACGGACACAGATAGATTACCCTGGAGTGATAGAATTTGGCTCTGATACCATATTAGAATATGTAGAACCCTCAGATTTACTCTCTTCAAAGGCTCTTTTGGAGAGTAAATATGGGGGTTCCACATATACTCACAACTATAACTATTTTTTAAATGATCATCAATAGTGTTTTTGATTAACATCTAAGATGAATTGTATTTTTATCAGGATATAAAAGAGTTGATGAAGAAAAATGCAGGATCAGGGTGGGGAAACAAATTTGGTATTATGCTTCTACCAATTTACTACCATAGAAATGGCTCCAATCCTCTCGACTATTTGAAAAGAGCCAAAATGATGATTGATAGAAAGAAGTTGTCTTTGGAAGCCTTTCTATCATACCAGATTGGATTCTTTGTTATGAACCACATGGGAGCAAAGGTGAAATTATATCTTACCTCAAATATCTAAAATCCACTTGTTTTGTTTTCTTGGTATTTTTATATTTTCAATACATGATTTGATCTGATTTTGATCTAAAGGGATACATATAACAAACCCTTTTCTTTTGTCCCTCAAAATCAAAAAATACAGTATTTGATTTGAAATTGTTATTTGTCAAATGCTTAAAATACCGATTCAATTTATGTAACCGAATCAGTGTTATCAATCTTGTGTTTGCAGTTTGCAAGCTTGCTTAATTACAGGATAGTTTGCAACACTTCATTCACAGTTTCGAATGTGGTGGGCCCAAGAGAAGAGATTACCGTCGCAGGCATCCCAGTCACGTACATCAGAACATCGTCGTCAAGCTTATCTCACGTACAAGTTTCTAAAGTTTGTGTACAAACAACACGAGCGGCCGTTTATAAAAATGCGTACTTATGGTTGTGTTGAATGGTGATGCAGGCAATCACAATGCATATGGTGAGTTATGCAGGAAGGGCCGATATGCAGATTCTAGCTGCCAAAGACATCATTCATGACCCCGAAAACTTAGCGAAATGTTTTGAAGATGCACTGCTCGAAATGAAAGAAGCCGTACTACGAACTTAAGAAAAGGGAAAATTTGCCCTTCAAAGTTGTACAAGATTTTATTCGTAGTTTGGAAAATATAAAAAAAAATAGCCGAATCTAAAAGATTCAATATTCTTTGTATGATCACGCAAAACAAATATATGTCACTTGGCATAAACATTTGCTTCTATTCATTTAACATCTTTACTTGGTGCATCACGTTTAAAAACGTGATGTGAACGATTAATTGTTCATCGAATAGCAAGCGCAAATTGGGCCCTATGATCAACGGATGCTAAGGGTCGATTTACCAACGTTAACCTGGTAATTAGAGTCATCCACCTTACATTTTCACAATATTTAGCCTTCTTATTTTAATCTCGTTATATGAATAATTGGTACGGTATCTATTTTGCAGATGGACGAAGCGACTTTGCTTAAATACACAACTTGTTCAAGTTCAATCCTATAGGAGACAGGCTTAAACCCCTCCGTTAGACTCAACCACTTAGTCAGCTTTGAAATGCATTCTCACATGTGGTTCATAGACGCTAGGGCAGGGACGGACCCAGAAAATTTTTCATACGGTGGCACCATATAATTAATATAATATAATATATATCTAAAAATTAATTACAAAAAAATATGGTTTTTATAGTGCCGATAAACAACTCCTAAATTTGTACCCGACGCATCTTCATCTTTTGAAAACGGTCAATATATACCAAAAAATAATTACAAAAAGTATGTTGAGAAACAACTCCTAAATTTGTCCTCGGCGTGTCTTCATCTTTTGGAAACGATCGATGACATCTTCGTTTTTAACATTACTAAGGACGACTCAGTGAGTACAACCGAGTCTTCAAGACTCGTTCCAATGATGAATCGAATCTCGTTGTTGGCTCGTTGTCGCTCACAGCCTCGCACACTTGCACTCGCACTCGCACGCAGCCACGCACAATCTCACACACTCGCCACTCGCGTCGTCTTCTTAGTTCTCACAATCGCACTCGCAATCGCAGTATCGCACGCTGCACGCACCAGGCCACCAGCAGGTAAGGTTAGGGCTTTATTTTTTACTTCTTTAGGAATTAGGATTTAGGCCCTTAGTTTTCTTTTATTTGGGCTGAGTTTTCTTTTATTTGGGCTGGTTGGGCTTACTAAACTTATGTTATTAGATTAATCAATTTGTTGGGCTTACTTATCTAATTTATTTGGACTTTATCTTGTTTGGGTTTTAGATTTAGTTGCACTATTTGAAATTCAGAAAAAAAAAATACGGTAGCACCTTTCAAAACGATACGGTAGCACCGTTAATAAACCTAAAAATTTTACCCTCCGGTGGCTAAATAATACAGTGGCACGTGCCACCCATGCCAACCAAGTAGGTCCCCCCATGCGCTAGGGGTTGGTTACATGTGGACTAGTCGGGTTTGTCAGTAATCAACATTTGCTCGAATATCTATACTATCTTATTAAGCAAATTTAATAAAAGTCTTAAAGTCTTAAAATACTAAATGACCAAGATACCCTTTATACTTTTTCACCTTTTCACTCCCTTCTTTCCTCACATACACTCAACCTCTCACAACCGATTTTTTTTAAATTATAATTTTAAATTTACACTTTATACATCTATTTAAATGTTTATCAAATTAACATACATAATCGTATATCAATTCAAACATGTTATAAAAAATACATTTTTATTTTAACAAGTTACACCATTATAATCGTCTCGTTAATACCTTCGAAATGAGTCCATATTTAATAGGTTTTGACTTAATTATATTATTATATATTATATATACTGTGAAAAAACATTTTTAATATTTACGATTTATACTTTTATAGTTATTTACATATATATATATATATATATATATATATATATATTTTGGGGTTAGGCTGTCCAAATTGCACTGTATAATATATTCTGAATTAATATGTTCTTAGGTTTTTTTGAAATATATATATATATATATATATACATGTATTAATTCAACCTTAAACTGAGTTTCTGGACAAGAAAAGGGTAAGTAGTTGAAATTTCATTTTAAAACCCATCTTTTTGGTCTTTTCATGGCTTATGATCTATCAAATTTGTAGTTTTCTTTATTGGTTTTGAGTGTTTATCTTAAACCTCAAGTTTCTTGGTTCTTTGTTCTTGGTGTAAATCGAACACATTTGTAGAGTCGTTTAAATATGTTGGATTTTAAATATATTGGATTTTAAATATATTGGATTTTAAACTGTTATACGTTTTTTTTTCATCGATAGTCTGTAATTGGAACCGTAACTCTTATGTATTCAAATTGTATTAATATGTAAAGACCAAGTGTAACCTATATCATCGTTAAATCTTATCTTATAAAACCAGTAGAACTTCAAAATCGTTAAAATTCATGGTTCTCGCCGCATTGCGCGGGTACACAACTAGTTAAGAGTGAAGTAACAGTTGGTCCTTTGATTTGGTGAAGATTGCTACTATAGTTCATAAACTTCATTTATTACGGTTTGATCCTGGTTGTATTCATTTTGTTACGTCCATGGTCCATCTGATTAACACCCTTAAAAGAATTCTTTAGCTCAAAAAGACATTTCATTCTTTTTAGCCTTTTTGTATTTTCTTATTAAAAAATAAAAAAAAATCATATATTACACACACAACGACGGAACCCACGCCTACACGCACACTTCACGATCTCCTCCTGTGAAACCGAGAGCCCCACACCATCACCGTTAGCCATTGCCGCTTCCCTACAGGAAAAAAATTATTTAACTCGGTTAATTCTAGGGGCATTTTTATTCCTTTTACCACTTTTTGTATTTTTCTATTGTGGTATCTCCGGACTTGTTAATCAACTTCGTTGGCTTCATGGTACTTTACATGTTGCATAACAAACCATAAACATGTTCTAAAAACCGTTTATTTATACACTATATAGTTAATCGAAGAGTGCTCGATGCTATATATATACTGTTTTTGTGTGTGCGTCTATTTATATACACTCACATACATATATAATCAAAAAAGACCAAAATGCTCCTGATTTAACTAAGTTAATGATATTAGTCAGAGGGACCATGACTAACAAATGAAGACATGGAACCAAAACCGAAATAAAGAGAGTTCAAGGAGTGTAGTAGTAGTAGTTTTCATTATACCACAAGGACCAAAACTGTAATTCGCTTTAATATTAACGGCATAGATTTCTTAATAATCTATATTATATTATAAAGCATTTGACAAAAACTCTTAAAAACCATTTTTATGCATGAAATATTGTATATTGATGCATATTACTTAAAATTCAAGATTACAAGTAAATTATGCATAAGTACAACTTACTAAAGCTTCATGTTTGAATTTGTGTAACTAACTGCAGATAAATATAATCAAATAGAGGACAAACATCTAATTTTAAAATATAAAAAATCTAAAATATAATTAGGATAATTATCGAGTTATAACAAGATAATTAATTATTAGAAGAGTACTCGCGCAATGCAGCGAGACACATGCATGTCGATTTTATTGTTCTATTTTATTATTTGTTTCTGTTGATGTTATAATACGATTTATGTGTTTTTAAGAAAGCAATAATGATTTTATTTTTGAATAAAATATAAATTTGAAAAAAACATATCAATGTTAATATAAAATCAACTATTTAAAAGTTTTCATTTTTTATTGTAATTTCTTTAATTTATTATAATTTAATTTAAGTTTTATAATGAAATAATTTGTTTTTGTTTTAATAATATAACATTTTATAAAGATAATAATTAAATATTCTCTTAGAATTCAATGATTATCCTAATTATATTTTAGATTTTTTTATATTTAAAATGAGATGTTTATCCTGTATTTGATTATGTTTATCTACAGTTAGTTACACGAATTCAAATATAGAGCTTTAATAAGTTGTACTTACGCGCAATTTTCTTGTAATATTGAATTTTAAATTAATATGCATTAATAAACAGTACTTTACGCATAAAAAGTGGTTTTTAAGAGTTTTTATCAAATGTTTTATAATATAGTATAGATTATTTTTATAAGAAAATTATATTATTAAACCAAATATAAATTACTTCGTTATTAAACCTAAATTAAATTATAATAAAAAAATTGAACTAAAAGAAATTACATAAAAATAAGAATTTTAAATAGTTAATTTGATAATAATATCGATACATTTTTGTTAAAATTTTATGATATCTTCAAGTTTATATTTTATTCAAAAATAAAAACATTATCGTTTTTTCAAAATCACATAAGACCAACTATAACATCGAATAAGATAAAAAAAAACATTAAAATTAAGATGTATCTCGTTACATTACGCAAACGCATTTCTCGTAATTCTTAATGAATATAAAGTATATAAAATAGAAATTGTCTTAATCCTTGTTTTGGTATAGGATACGGGTGTTATAAATGAGTAGGCGAAGGCTGTTACATACTTACAGGTAGGAATATGTAAAGTTAATGCATTAGATGGAGAGTTGTTGTCTAGGAAGATTAAATTAAGATTTAGAAACGTGCATTTGAATTTAATTACTTCATGTTTATTATTATTGCTAGAAGAGTATTCGTGCAATGCAGCGAGACATGTCTCTGTCGATGTTATAATACAATTTTATGTGTTTGTAAGAAAATAATAATGATTTTATCTTTGAATAAAATATAAATTTGAAGATATTATAATTTTTTTTAAATATATATATATATATATATATATATATATCAATGTCAATATCAAACCAACTATTTAAAAGTTCTCATTTTTATGTAATTTCTTTAATTTATTTTTTATTATAATTTAATTCAAGTTTAATAACAAAATAATTTAATTTTTGGTTTGATAATATAAAGATAATAATTAAGTATTCTGTCAGAACTCAATAATTATCCTAATTATATTTTAGATTTTTTATATTTAAAATGAGATGTTTATCTTGTATTTGATTATGTTTATTTGCAGTTAGTTACACGAATTCAGATATGAAGCTTTAATAAGTTGTACTTATGCACAATCTACTTGTAATCTTGAGTTTTAAGTAATATGCATTAATAAATAGTACTTTACGCATAAAAAGTGGTTTTTAAGAGTTTTTATCAAATCTATACCATATTATTAAGCATTTGACAAAAACTCTTAAAAACAATTTTTATGCATAAAATACT